CAGCTCCAGGATCAGACTCAGCAGCTGTGCAGTCTGGTAATCATCTGAACAGACAAGAGAAAGAAAAACAAACATTCATCAAAATAGAATACGGCCATCAGCAGGTCATTTTGTTCAGATCCTCATCAAGTGCCTTGCTGACCGACCTAGGCATCACAACTCTGCGCAACCTGCATGTAAGTAAATCAGTTTGTGTGTTGGCACCCTTCCATGCCATGACAAATGACTAGCAAGAATGTTCTCACATATTTTCTTCCTCTACCACTCTTTCCATTTGTCACAACATGCTCTAGTTTCTTTCTTCTCATAACGTGGCCGGAGCTCTCTTGCAGATCTGGAGGTCTTGGGTTTAAATCTGAATTTGTTTTCCTTCAAACATGACCTTGGCTCCCAGGTTGACCCAGCACTATATGCGCACCAAGTAAAGTCCTGGAATGTAAAGGCGGCCGGAGTGATGCTGACCACATCAGCTGCTGAGTGCCGACTGGTCTACAAAATATAGGCCTAGCCTGTCTGGGCAACCAAAATGTGATAATTAATGGCCTCCTTTCCATGGTGGTGTGTGTGTGTAAGAGAGAGAGAGAGAGACAGAGAGAGAGAAAGAGAGGAGGAGAGAGAGGCAGAGAGAGAGAGAAAGAGAGGAGGAGAGAGAGGCAGAGAGAGAGAGAGAAAGAGAGGGGGGGAGAGAGAGAGGGAGAGAGAAAGAGAGGGAGAGAGAGAGAGACAGAGAGAAGAAAGAGGGAGAGAGAGACAGAGAGAGAAAGAGAGGGAGAGAGAAAGGGAGAAAGACCCATGGCCACAAAAAGCAACTAATTAAACATTCACTGAAATGGGATGTGTTTAGCTGAAAGGTGCAGATATCGCAGACCAGCTGTAAACCTTAACAAAAGGGTACTGGCTGCCCCTTTAAGGTCAAGCACAGAAGAACGGAGTGATGCTGACCACATCAGCTGCTGAGTGCCGACTGGTCTACAAAATATAGGCCTAGCCTGTCTGGGCAACCAAAATGTGATAATTAATGGCCTCCTTTCCATGGTGGTGTGTGTGTGTAAGAGAGAGAGAGAGAGAGAGACAGAGAGAGAGAAAGAGAGGAGGAGAGAGAGGCAGAGAGAGAGAGAAAGAGAGGGGGGGAGAGAGAGAGGGAGAGAGAAAGAGAGGGAGAGAGAAAGAGAGGGAGAGAGAAAGAGAGGGAGAGAGAGAGAGACAGAGAGAAGAAAGAGGGAGAGAGAGACAGAGAGAGAAAGAGAGGGAGAGAGAAAGGGAGAAAGACCCATGGCCACAAAAAGCAACTAATTAAACATTCACTGAAATGGGATGTGTTTAGCTGAAAGGTGCAGATATCGCAGACCAGCTGTAAACCTTAACAAAAGGGTACTGGCTGCCCCTTTAAGGTCAAGCACAGAAGAACGGAGTGATGCTGACGACATCAGCTGCTGAGTGCCGACTGGTCTACAAAATATAGGCCTAGCCTGTCTGGGCAACCAAAATGTGATAATTAATGGCCTCCTTTCCATGGTGGTGTGTGTGTGTAAGAGAGAGAGAGAGAGGCAGAGAGAGAGAAAGAGAGGAGGAGAGAGAGGCAGAGAGAGAGAGGAGGAGAGAGAGGCAGAGAGAGAGAGAAAGAGAGGGAGAGAGAGAGAGAGGGAGAGAGAAAGAGAGGGAGAGAGAAAGAGAGGGAGAGAGGGAGAGACAGAGAGAAGAAAGAGGGAGAGAGAGAGAGACAGAGAGAGAAAGAGAGGGAGAGAGAAAGGGAGAAAGACCCATGGCCACAAAAAGCAACTAATTAAATATTCACTGAAATGGGATGTGTTTAGCTGAAAGGTGCAGATATCGCAGACCAGCTGTAAACCTTAACAAAAGGGTACTGGCTGCCCCTTTAAGGTCAAGCACAGAAGAACTGATGGCTCAGTAACACACAGGCAAGCAGAAGTCTTAACTAAGTAGCCTGATGATGATAATTGTATCACTTACCCCTGCTTGGTTTGTTATCTGTCGTGTTCACAAATAAAGGCGCTGCTAACACGTGCATACTGTGCTTGTAAAAGAAGCTAAGAAATTCAGATTTCTCCGTTTTCTGTGAAATAAATTAAAGGAACTGAGAAAATGTTATAAGCAACAAACTGAACACGTCATTTATTTAATCTCCTAGAAGGCTAACCCAGGCAACAAATGACTATAGAAATTGCATGTATCGGCCGAAAGGGGCAAATATCACAACCATGTTGTGAAATGGCACAACACATTTATGTCTTTGGATAAACTCATAAGATTTACAACTGATCTTTCAGCAAAGAAATAGAAATAAAACTAGTGATTGTTCAAAGGAAAAATCTTGCAAATATCTGGGCCAAGTAAAATCCCATAATGAGCTGAGGAAAAAACATTGAAGGCAGAAGACGGGGATAGCTTGGGCATGTTTGCAGGATGTCCTGTGAGACTTTGTGGCTAGAACAGCTCTCCGGTAGACAGCAGCTGAGAACAGTATGTTGCTGATAAAGACCTTAATGAGTAACATATCTTTCTTTTCTGACCGGCCGGGGTATCTTGCCTCTGCACAACCTTCATGTAATCAGTTTCTGTGTTGACACCCTTCCGTGCCTTGACAAAAGACTGGCAAGAATCTTCTCCCATGTTCTTCCCACCCTAGCAAATACAGAATGTATTCACAGAATGATGGGCTGTTTTTTCTTAACATTTGTCTTATCTCTACTGTCTTTGAAAACATAGTGCTATCTTCAGAGGGGCTAGACATTTGCTTTCCAGCCTATAGATCTTAACCCATACCATGAAGATTTTTTAATAAGTAATCTTTGCCCCAAGACAATCCAGACTAAAATGGGCATTGAGTAATGTCATGGAAAGCAAAGGCGGCAGACATGATGATGCCCACATCAGCCTTTAAGCCACTGTTTGGTCTAAAAATGTAAAACTAGCACCACATCCTTGGTGCACCAGATGTGTGAAAAACTCGTTTCCTGTTGAACTTTAACCTCAATAAGCACATCTACTGGATGTCTCCCAATAGCTTTCTACTGTTTCTCACGAACATAAATTCTACTGTCTCTCAAAGAAGCATTTTCTTTGGGCCTTCTTTTCATTTTTTAAGCGGTCCCAACATGCCTAGTGTAAAAATCTGGGCAAGTAATTATGATACTGTCAGCACTGCTCATGGGGTGTCACTGGGATACGAAGGTCAAAATAATGTTACAAGGGGGAGACACACATGACGATGGTGAATATGTTGAGAGGGGAATCTGAGCGCCTATGGATGTGTCCAGAGTGCTTTGAAGATAATCTAACACATGAACTACCAGAACTGCACACAACTTACACTTGCTGTTGCCATCATGTTTTCCGGATCCAGCAATAACCTCAAAATCCCAATCAACTGAACAGCCCCGCCAAGTTCTGAAAGTAAATAATACAAAGTATAATGAACAATACACATTTCCTTATGTGTGTATAATATCTTCTTAGTGCTCAAAGTTCTGATTGTCTATTTACATCTTGACTTTGGTCTTGATACAGAACTTCAGTTTTGCCTGCATATATATTTTACCTATCTGGCTTACTTGTAAGCAGACTGTTGGTTTCTTGCTTCTCATGCAGATGCACTCCAACTTTGAAGGAAATACCCCTACTACATGGAGTCACCTCCCTCGAAATGTCACTTGCAAACCCCTCACAAGGGGGATGTATAAATGATTACACCATATTTCTTTGCTTTTCTCTAGTCCTGTTTTGGCTGTCAGCGTCAGGTCTTGGAGGGGTGTCTCATGACAGCTGGCATGTGCTTCACTGATGGCACAACTCACAGCCTCATATGTTTCCATCTATCCACAACTTCTGCGGGCGACCTCTAACTCTGCTTCCATTGTGTCTAAATGACAGGGCCCACTTCGCTGATGATGTTTCTCTTCTGTCGCACTCATGGAATCAAAATTTAAAATAAACTAAATAAGCTAGAACACACAACAGCAAGGTCTTAAAATCTATATGGGAAAGGTAAAAAAAAATGAGAATAAATATGGCAAATAAGAACAGCTGTGGTGTTTTCATAGAGTCTCACTCCATGCAAATCGTAAACCTTTTTGGGCAGTACACGTAGACAATGGGGCTATTCTGATTCATATCGAAATACAGTAGCATGTCCCTCGAGGAACCTCGCTGCCATAGGAACTCTCCGGAAAATAAAATAAAACTGACTTAAGATGTTGAATTCGTCTGTTAAATCATACTGTTGCATGGATCTGCCACATGGTGAACAACTAAGCAATTACTAATCTTCTCCTTTTCCTTCCTAGTGCCTGTCTTCCCAGAATTATACTGTTTCGCTGCATACAATAGCAATAGTGAAGGTCAGAGCAACTTGGCATAAGTTGGGGGGTTTGAAATGCAGAAAAAGAAGACAGGGCTCCATGTGGTGTACAATCCCCGGACAGTCTTGACACTCTTGTCTAAACAATTTATTCTGCTATCTCTAGATGTAGTTTATTTAGCACTAGCTCCATCACGATTTGTTTCCTAATATTGTCATATATGAAGCCCTCTCTTCTTCTCAGATTCAGGATTCATTGTAGACATTTCATTTCTGTTGTTTTGGTGTTTCCTTTTCCTGTTGTTAAGGACCACATTGGCACTCAAACACAATGTTCTACAGACATGTGGATGTATATGTATATAATCTAGCAACAAATATTTGTTTGCCAACATTGTGCTACCAGTGTATCCTTATTAAAAAAGATGACTGCAAATTCATAAAGATGAAATGTTTTAAAAAGAGCAGCAGGAGTAACAAAAGAAAGGAAAATTTAAAATGAAGAAATGTTAGGACTGAATTCTGTCATACAGTTTATTAAAGAGCAACAGATAAGATTGTCTGGTCATCTGAGAAGAATGCCTGGTACCAACTGCAATAGAGTCAAAGTGAAGAAATATTAGTGATACACAGCAAAGGCAAGACCACACAAAAGATGGAACTCCAGCATCAAGAACAGCCTTAACCTCTGTTCATGTGGTTAATCCATTGTCGGCCATTAACTGGGATGTAATCTCGAGGTCTCTCAGGTTTACCCAAAACTTAATTGTCAGGTCTAGTGGGTTTGGCCACATGTTGCTTCACAGCTGCAACAAGTGAGGACAGTCTTGCAAGACTGTTCAGTATAAAGACACTGGCAAAGAGCTGTTTGGCTCATACCTAATTTATACAGGTGTTTATAGAGTCTGCAATGTTCCGCACAAAAGCGAAAAACTGTGACTTGGTCTGTTCTGTTCAAATATTTCAGGACATTTTTTTTATGGTTAAAACATGTATTAGTTTTCCAATCTGTTTCTGATTTTCTCTTAATGAGGGTTTTGACTTCTAGTAAAGATAGAGGCTGGTTAATTTGTGGTTTGCTGCTGCCTTCCTTGATTAAAGCTTTAGCACTTTCATTGCCTTTGATGACAACTTATACAACACATTAGAAAGAGAACCTAGAAAGAAGATCCCTTTATCTCCCCCAAACACACTGGTAAAATAACCGGGGGGAAGGGGGGGGGGGGGATAAAACACTTATCTTGCCTAGAAATTAGAACAGCCGTGGTGTAGCAGCAAGAATATCATCGCCTACAAATCTGAAGGTCGTGGGTCACGACCCAAATGGAGCTATACTTTTGTTTAAAAATGACATCACTGGCTCCCAGGTCGACCCAGCCTTAAATGGGTACCAAGTAAGGTCATGGGAAGTTAAAAACGGCCGGCATGTTGATCACATCACACACAAAGAGTGCCATTTGGTCTACAAAGGACAGGTCAGCACTATATGCCCAATATGCCGGATAGCATTTAAAAAAAAAAAAAAGTCATTTACTAGCAAAGACATAGTGTGGAACTACGCATGGTTGGTCATATTGTTACTACCTTTCATGTTCTTGGTTTCAGTACCACATAGCCAAGGACAACTTAGAGAACACATGCATACACCTGATGCTTTACTGAAAGCTTACCTGGATCTGTGTCATTGACCATCTGCTCAATGACTAGGTTAATCAGAAGATCCTCCTAACAAACAAATGAAAAGGTGAAAAACAGTCAAAATGAGACAGCAAGTAACAGAAAATTATCACTTCATTAATTTTACCAGTTACCTGAAGTAAACTTGTGATATGAAATTCCTCCATATATTAAAGTAAAGAAAACACACAAAGGAAGTCAGCAATAAAGACTATAAAAACTCAGCAGTTCCATCTGTTATAAATCCCTTAGAAGCTATTTAACCAGCACTGCTGTACTGGTTCTGTTTGTACCTGCACAATTTTTGGGAGGATAAGATTATATTTACTAAACTCAGCATTTCCTCAAAATAAAAAAAATAAAAAGTTAACTGGGAAAAATCTATTTTCTATATCCTCTTCATGTCGCTGCTGACAAAGAAGGCATTAAGATTTGTCTCCCCTGCCCGCGGTGCGCTGCTTGTCTACTGATGTCATTACTTCATTACCCTTTATACTGTCCTTCTCCACCTGGAGAGCGTGAGTAGTTGTGATAAATACAATGAAATAAGTGACCAAACTAACCAATTCAAACTAATCAATTCAAACTAACCAATTCAAACTAACTAATAATCTTCTTCTTAGGGTTCACCTGGAAAATGCTGGCTGTTTGTCCACTCCCGGACTTTGGTCTTGATCCAAAACCTGAGTTTTGATTGCTCATGCGTTTTACATATTTGGCTTATTTGTATGCAGACTGTTGGTTTCTTGCCTCTCAGCCAGACGCACTCTGATGGAATCACCCCAATCATCTCATACAACATGCTAGTTAAGGAAGCAGTAGACCTATTCATTGTTCTCCAAAATGGAGCCCCAGAACCCAAATGGGGAAACCTAACTATATAACACACACCCCATAGCAGCCGACAAAAGGACAACCATCATCAAAACTTACATCGTCTACACTGATACTCTCATGTAGAATGAAGTCTCGAACCATGGACGGACTAAATTCAACAATGTATGAGAAGATGTCAATGGCAGCAAGTTTCATCTTTTCATCATCCAATCCCTAGAGGAGGTCAAAAATGAATCATAATTAGGTCATTTTAAGTGCTGACTTACATTTAAACTATTTAACTGTTTTGGTACCAAGGAAGACACTCATTTGGTGATTTATAAATGATTTTACAGTTCTTTGCTACTGAAAGTTTTTTTTTTTAAATGCCAGGTTAATATATGCACAGGTCCTCCTAGTGTTTTGTATTTGTCTTTAATGGCTAGATGCATAATTCATTACCACAGGAACTGGGGGAACACTGCCATAAGCTTATTTTGCTAACAAAACTTAAGCAACATTCGAGCCAAAGTGAAAAATCTGTTTCGCTGTGAATTTGAACCTACGACCTTCTGACTAGCAGGCAAGTATCTAGAAACTTTGCTTCTGTAGTTCCCTATGCTAAGTTACAATGTTCTCCTTCTTATTCTAAGCGTTCCCTGGCTGTAAACTCTGATAGAGAGTTCTGGTTGTTCATGCACTTCCGTTTTATACAGCTGGCTTATTTGAATGCTGACTGCTGGTTCTTCGCCTCTCTGGCATACACTCCTTTATTGACATATCTGGTAGGTCCCCCCCCCCCCTCCCCCAATGGACCGACCAAACCCGCACAAGGTTTTTTTTAGTTCATATTCTTAGCTTCCTTTATGTGCCCTGACAGCACACTAGCCAATGTTACTAAACTGTTAGTATTATTGTTAAATCTGTGAACCATGAGAATAATGCACTGGATGCAATTCTGAATACACACTTGGCATGTGGAAGTTGTCTACAGAATTACACACCATTTTATGCATGTATAGGGGAAAAAAATAGCACCTTCCCTCTTACTACACAGAATACAGTGCTACTGATAATGATTCTGAATAGAGGTTATCATATTTTACAAAGATATCATGTTTATCTGCAACTTAATTATAAGATCTATAACCAGTGGTACTGACTGCAACTCAATTATAAGATCTATAACCAGTGGTACTGACTGCAACTCAATTATAAGATCTATAACCAGTGGTACTGACTGCAACTCAATTTTAAGATCTATAACCAGTGGTACTGACTGCAACTCAATTATAAGATCTATAACCAGTGGTATTGACTGCAACTCAATTATAAGATCTATAACCAGTGGTACTGACTGCAACTCAATTATAAGATCGATAACTGTGTCACTGATACCTGAGGATTGTTCAGGTAAACTGATAAACTGATACTTACAAGTATGATCTCTATAGATGTCAATATTCCAAGATTTGACAGGGTCTGGAAAGGAGAAAAAACACAGTAAAAGTACAGATATTAAACTGTATAAACTAAAAAAGTATGTACATGACAAACACATCTGATTCCTTTCTGTGGTTGAAAAATGGCACAACCAACTACCACCACATCAAAGATCAGACTTCAAAGTTGTCCCAGGACCCCATTTTGGGGGAATACAAGAACAGACTCAAGGCCTCCCTATCAGGCATATCGTAAAAGGAGACTAATTAAGGAATTCCCTCCAAAGTAGGAGCGCATCTTCCTGAGAAACTAACAGTCTGCATACAAATAAGCAGATCTGTAAAGTTGATGTGCATGCAAAATTCAAGTTTAGTAACAAGACCGAAGTCCACAAGTGGTCAAAAGATCAGAACTTTCCGCTCAAGTTTATAACCTAGTCAGCTTTTTATGACATGATTATTAGGGGGAAGCAGTGGATCCAACGCACCCCTCCCCTCCCCCAGGCTCTCGAACCTATGGGTATGCAAAGCTTAAAGCCTTGGTTCAACAATTCATAGTGTGCTACTATACCAATAAAAAGACTTTTGCTTAAAGGAAGACCCTAAATTTACCTATACAAAATACAAAAGAAGGGGAAATGCTAAAGAAGGCTGTAGAACGATGAGAATAATGCACTGGATGCAATTCTGAATACACACTTGACATGTGGAAGTTGTCTAGAGAATTACACACCATTTTATGCATGTATAGGGGGAAAATAGCACTTTCCCTCTTACTACACAGGATACAGTGCTACTGATAATGATTCTGAATAGAGGTTATCATATTTCTTGTGTATTCTTGTGATCTCTGGAACACAAAAGCTTCTCTATTTTACGGTGGAGATACATTGGGGGGGGGGGGGGGGGAGAGAGATATTGGGAAAGGAGAGGAATCAATCAGATAAAGCAAAAACTTGTAGTTTATGTTTGTGCACATACACCTCAGTGGCTTGCTTGATTTCACAGCTGCCCAAAAGCCACCACACCAGAAGAGATAGTATAAATGAAAAGAAAAAAAAAAATTATGTGTCTGGGGCTTATGACGATGTGAATGTGCCCTGTAATTTCTAAAAAGCCTGTTTGATTTGAACTTCACTGAATGACAGCAGATTGCTTTGTGTTATTTTGACATCAGAAGCAACTGATAAACTACTGAACGTAAAAATCGCAATATCAGAAAAATGTCTGGGATTGGTTCTGCAATGTCTTATAAAAGGATATACAACCGTTTAAAAATATAAAATAAAGTTAACCCCAATAAGTCTACTATTAACTGTACCTTATAAAATGATTCTCTATTTGGTTGCTGCAGTGTTTGTGAAAATGTACAGAATTCTTTGAGGAATAAAACCAGATCTCTTCGATGGTTGTCATCAGTCTCTTCGCCAGTCAGCTGAGCGAACAGGGTTGTCAAGAACTTGACATCATCCTGAGATTTCAAACAAGGTAAAACATGAATGTTAGTAACCAGGCTTACATGCTGTTTGGACTCCAGTGATATACCAACAGATATTAGGCAATTTAAAAAAAGAAAAGCCTTGTTTAGGCCAGTGACACACCAGGCTCATGCTAATCATACCGGTAAGTATATGCTGTCATGTTTTGCCTTCTCACATTATAACCAGAATCCTGGATCAGTACAATGTTTTTGTTTCTCACCATCCATTTGGCCAGGCCGTCCAGGTGCTTATCTCTCTGCCTTCCTCTTGCTCTCTTTCCATCAATATTGGCAGCTGTTACAAAGTTCTCAAGTCGATTCTTTCTCATAACATGTCCCAAAATCATTGGCTGTCTACGCCTAACTGTTCTAAACGCTTACGACTTTCATCTGTCTCAATGAGGACTGCTGTGTTTGTGTTCTATCCTTCCATGATATCCTTTGCATCTTTCTCATAAAATCTACCGCAAGTAAATGTTTTTTCAGAACTACCCGCACTCGGTGGCTGATGTTAACATCATGCTGGCCACCTTTATTTCCAAAGACAAAACCCGGTACCCACTTTAAATTGGTCAAGTGGGAGCCAAGGTAAATGTTGTGAAATGTAAACTGAATTTAAGCCTAAGACGCTGGGCTCTGCAGGTGAGCATCTAGACACAAGGCCAGGGCTATTCAACTGGCAGCCCGCAGAGGCCTAGCCCACCCCACCCCCCCCCCCCCACTGCCAATTGTACTGTATTAATGATCTTTCTATGCCGTGGCTCTGGCCCCTGACCCTTGACTTTGGTCCCCCGATTAAACTTAGATGAATAGCCCTGCACCAGGATAACAAGACTCCCATCAACAGATGATGATGATGACTAAAGACAGGGCTTGCCTAGGTCAAGTGGCGATCATCATCACATAGCAGGACCCATACAGAACACCGATACTGCCACGGTCCATCACAAAGAACTGATCCTGCTGATGCCACTGGTGTTCTGGTTGACCCCTGCCTCTTCAGTCAAAAATCGCTGGGGCATTTCTTCTGAGGGCACATGCACCCTTAAAAGGATGGCTGGTACTGTGTTGGGTTTACAGCTAGGCCGTGATATCCGTACCTTTCAGCCCACCACCTTTAACAAGCGGCTAATTAGTCCCATTTTGTGATGTGCTTGTTAGGAAGTAGCGAGGCTATCACCCAGTATCATGTGGACTTTGAGGAACGATTGGCAAAGCGGTTGAGTAGGCTAGGCACTCATTCTAGAGACCAAGTTTTATATCCTCGGTAAACTGATAGGGAAAAAAATAAAAATCCTACTTGTACAGTCTATGGCGGCTGCACCAGTCATGCGCCCTCAAATCCTCAAGCTCATGACCTACATGCATAAAACTAGTCTAAAAAGTATTGCATATAGGAAGCAAAGGCAGTATTTTTTTTAAAATAATGCAGCCCATCCAGACTTTATCAAGAGTAACAAAAACGAGACATTATCATGCTATCTTAACTTTTACCAATAGCTGAACAAACACTCACCTGTATCATACTGACTATTTCGACCTTATTAAAAAAGATGAAGGATGAGAGCGAGGACAGCATGTTCTCTTCAAATACAGATGGGACAGGCAGAATCACATCCTGGATGTATTGGACCCGGTAAGTCTGGTGGATTTTTGTCTCTAGTTCTGAATTTGTCATAGGCACAACCTAGAGACAGAAAACAAGGAGCTGTAATGGGAAGCAACATCATTCTTATAGTTCAGAATGTCAAGTGCTAAAACTGAATCAGTTTTAGTCAATCCTAAAAAAACTGGCTAATTGTTCTCAAGATCATTCACTTTATCAATGAAGGGGTCATCCACTGGCTTACCGGTAGATGACTTTGTTGTCAGTCAGAACAGTATTTGGGTTTGTCCTCTTTGACGCATCAATACCACAGGGGTCCTTTTTTTTTTATGTCTCATGGCGGCGTGAAATGCTAATCCATTTTATATTGTGCACACAACCTAGCCACGATTATAACCTAAAGCTCCCCTTTCAGAGATGCTGGCTAAATGTGACGATTTTGTCCCAGCAAAGCACCTACATTCATCAATTTGCTTTCAAATTATATACAAACATGAATAATTAAAAATTTAAACACACACACTTATCCGCAGCTAAATTTTTAGAGTTGGACTACAAACAAAAACATACAATATGCATTATAGCTAAGCAACCATGGCAAACAATATTCTATCCCATTCCTGATTATTATACCCTCAATGACAGGACTTGCATTCTGGCACACATTTGACGACTATTTAACAGTCAATTTTTTTTTAGTAAAGTTGAAATTAGCAATTAGGCATGGTTTAATTGTAGTCTCAGACCTACTTATGATAGATAGTGTAAAAGTACAGGACCTTTGTCCACGCCTTTCAGGCATATTGGGTATATAGGGCTATATATACCAACGGCACAAGATGGGTGATGTGGTCATTATCACGCCGGAAGCCTTTACTTCCCAGGACTGCACTCGCTACACACTCAAGGCTCGACCTAGGGTCATTTTTGAAAAAAGTCCAGCTCTATCAGGAAATGAACCCACGACTTTCCGATCCGCAGCCTAGCGAACCTACTTATGATGCATGTACTAAATCACAAGCTCAGTTCCCTGTGTGGGATCCGGGGCCCCATTGTGGGGGGGGGGGGGGGGAGAACAAGAATAGACCCACTGCCTCCCCAAAAAGCATGTCGTAAGAGTCGACTAATTGGTAGCTTCCTTTGAAGTCGGAGTGCATCTGCCTGAGAGGCAAGGAACCAACAGTCTGCATTCAAGTGAATCAGATCTGTAAAACTGATGCGCACGCAACACCCAGGTTCTGGAGCAGGACTGCAGTCCAGGTGTGGACGAACAACCAGAACTTTCCGCCAGAGTGTACAGCTGGTGAACGCGAAGAAGAAGAAGAAGACAAGCTCAGTGCATGCAAATATGAGCAATGGATAGTGATCAATTGCATGCCTACAGTTTATTAAATACATTAATAAATTAGGGCAGATTAAATTATCATAAAAGTTACATGCTAGGTTTTGATCAGCTAGGCAGAAATGTAACAACTGCTACAAACCTCTTTGAATTTGGCAGTGTTACGCAAATATTCCCTGTGTCTGGTCGGTGTCGGCGATGACGGATCATACTCTAGCACACCAATAATGTCAAATATAATATCGTCTGAAAACATGATTTCAAACAGTGCATTTTTGTTGAGGAGAAATATACTCTTGAATATTTCGTACAAATGATGAAGTCCCTCAATATTCTCCAAGTCTTCACACATGTGAAACAAATCTACCAGCTTACGAATGTAACCCTCTGCCTCAATTGCCACCGCTAGTTTTTCTCTCCGGATTGGAGAGGGTAGCACTGATGAGAAGAGTTCAGCAATCTCTTCAAGTTTGCTGGTTTCACAGGGCGGTAACTCTATTGGCGGTGCAGCATCGGGCATGTCGTCAAATCTTTCATCTTCAGATTCTTCTACAACATCCTGGGTGATGTCGACACTGGGGTCTTTTCCTTGGACCTGCAACAAGTCAACCAAGAATGCAATTAACAATATGTAAGTGTATTTGTCAGCATCTGTGGCTTAGGCATTGCAAATGCCTCAATCCCAGCTGTAGGCGATTTGACAGCAGACGATCTTGCTCTGCTTTGAGATTGGTAAAGAGAGCTGACCGTTTAGAAAGCAACAGCAAACTAGTAAATGTAAACTTTGCCTAGAAAAACCGCAACAGCCAAAAATTGCTGGGGTTAGTTCTGCAACCTTCCATAAACGATATACAACTAAATTGTTATGTGTATTTGTCTTTCTCTCGTGCACTCCGATCATTTCTCTAGACCTGCAGCAAACTAAGCAAGAATATAGAAACTATATGTGCCTGGGTGTGCGTCTAACTAACTCTCTCACTCTGCGTGTTTTCAATATATACATCAAGACCACATTAAATCAATTCTAAAGGAGCACAAAATACAGAGTTTGTATTTACAAATTATGTGCTAACCAATACACACAATACATACATGTACATCCCTGTTAGGATCAAAACTCTGCTCAGCTAACCAGTGTTCATCTTAAGTAAATTAATGTTAACTATTACAACATGATTCACAAGGGACTACTACAAGGGTGGTTCCCTCTAGTCCTTTAATCAATTTGTGTATGGTTTTACAGCCCAAATATGTTTTAACTGAATGGAGTTTCCTACATTTACAAATGAATGCTGGCTCTGTCAGTCACAGTGCCAATCTTTTGAGGGGTATTAATTCTAGAGTGGCACATTTAAAAAAAAAAAAAAGAAAAATAAAACTAGAAGAAGAAACATCAACAGCCATGTGTAGGCACAAAACCAAGCCGGGGTTTACCTGACAGATTTTCTCCCATATTTCATCACAACCAGCCTTCTCCTGGAAACTCAGAGCAAGATCGTAGTTGTCAGCTTCAGACCACACAATCAATGTTTCCTGGAGAAAGAGACACTTCAGTTTCAAAACACAGTTTCCACATGTTGAAACTCAACTGTTCACATATTTGAGCTGCTAATTTAAATCTTTTACTGAGATTTTATAGGTTACTGCACCCCAGTGGTTCTAGACTCAATTGTCTTTAATTTAACTTTGGAGAAAAGAGGTGAATGACTCGGGGGAAGGGGGAATTATCTAAAAAAAAAAAAATAGTGTACAAATTTATTAATTATATAATGTAAATTTATCTATAAATCAATAGTAAAGAGTGTAAAAGTCACAGTAATAAAGGTAAAGGCAGACAACACACCTAGCAGGATTCTTTGGAATAAGGTGCCACGGATCCCACTGTGTGAAAAGATGTGGGGAGGTAATACCGCACAAAGGGCAAAAGGCTTGCAGACAGATTAAGAGTTGAGCATCTGAGAAGACATGTGTCAAAGACATATGATGGTAGCAATGATCCTCAAATCGCATGCACTTATTACTGTGGATGCGAGCTGGTACTGCTAGTCACACACACACACCATGTGAGGTGATTCCCATGCCTCCATAAAGCAAAACAGAACATCTGGAAAGACAAAAAGATGCCAACAACAGCCCCCACAGTTCCCTTGATCACCCAAGCTGAAGTGTGATCACTATGAAAGCTATCAACTGCTTCTGATAGTAAGCTTCTTCATCATTCACCCTTTAGGGCAGGTCTATTCAACTAAGTTTACCCAAGGGCCTACATTTTCAAATGGGGGATCGTCATGGGCCAGAAACCTGAGCCTTAGCGTAGAAAGAGCATTAATACAATACAACTGCCGATGACCAGTGGGCCACTTGCCAGATGTGTCCCGTGGGCGGTCAGTTGAATAGCCCTGCTTTAAGGGATGGGGGCGCTGTTTGACACATGTAGTGGTTTACAAACAGGGTTGCAGTATTTGACTGCGCTTTTTTGGTCCAAAACATATTTCTGCAAACTCCTAATTAGGTGGCTTTTACAACATGCTTGGAAGGGGTATTAGTGGGTCTGTTCTATTTCCCGCCGAAATGAAAACCAAAAATTAGATTTCATACAAATTTCAACCCCAGGACTTCTGGCTGGCACGTGAGTGTCTAGAATAACCACTGTCACATCACAGGTAGATCTGACAGACCTACTACTGGCACTAGTATGTGCACTAGGCAAATGTCAATTAAGTTAATTTTGGCAATTTTCACCTAAAACTGGTATTTGTCACTTTAAAATGCATCAGAGGCATATGTGAATGCCTACTCCAAACAGGTCCCAATTAATTATTTGTGCATGCAACCACTTAATTATCTGAGAGATCTCAATGTTTCAGTCTAAAGAAACACACCATAAGTTCCTACAAGCCCAACGAATGCAAGACGCACACATTTTACTTCTCTCTCTATTACCCTTTGGGTCTCTGATGCTAAACCTTTGATCGAGGCACTTAGGTGACACTGGCATGGTGTCCACTTCCTTTCTGTGTACAACCTTTGGCACACTGTGCTAGGATGTGATATCAGCGCCTTTCAGCACAACACATCCAATTTCAGCAAGTGTTGACTAAAATTTGTAATGCTACAGAGTAAATGTTTACATAATTATTACAAAACAAAATTCATTTTAAAAGCTGTTGCAGTACCTGCTGTTTTTGATAAGCTGTATCTTGTTGTATCTTTGATTCCAGCAGTATAGATCCTAAAATAAAAATACAATGAAAATGTTACAAAAACACACATCTTAATATTTTGAAGTGTGTGTGTATGCATACTCACACAGGATGCAAAATGACATAAAGGAGTAACAGTATACCTCAATGTCTTTGACAAATGATAAAGTGGTTTGGACATTTTATAAGAATGAAATCTGATTAACTGCTGATAAAAAAAAAAAAAAAAAATTAGCAAACAGATCCGGACAACAACTAAGCAAATACTGGGCAGACAACATCAAAAGTACTATAAGAAAGCATGAATCTGTGTGCAACTAAGGCAACATACTGCAGTTGATCTATCTCTTGATGTTGTTCTCCCACATGTATTGTCTACTTCTTAACCTCCAATATAGTTTTTAAAAGACTATTATGTCTTTTATTTATAATATGGCCAAATTATTTTGGTTTTTTTTTTTACTTTAGTAAGTCTACTTCATTATGATACTACTGCTACCTTTAGGCTATTACACAGGAAGAGCTTACAAAAGGTCAGCTGTGTTCTCCACTATGTGTCAAACTCTACACATTTCTGTTTCCATGTTCAACATGGCTGTTTATAAGCTCTGTTTTCTTATCCGTCAAGTCTTCTAGTCACAGTCCTTTTCCATTTTCATCACTGAGCTTTCTAGTCAGTTTGTTGTATTTATGAGTTTTTTTTTCTTCTTCACATAAATGACTCCATAGTAGCTTATATGTGACTGACTGTTGAGTTCCGGAATGGCAATAAATAGTTGTGTAAGCACTCCTTTGTGACCTCACCTTAGATGCTTACATTAGGCCAGATGACTAAATTTTTTAAATATTACCTGATGTGTTGCTAATATTATCCACACTGAAGGCCATTAGGACCGGAAATTGTGTTGCTGAAATAAATCTGTACAAAATTCTGGCTTGTTCCAGAACATGAGTTTTCAGTTCACATTTGTTTTACAGATCTGGCTTTTCTGTACGCAGATTGCTGATTCCCCGCCTCTCAGGCAGATGCACTATGAATAACCATGCTTGTGTGTGTGTGTTTTTGTGTGTGGGGGTGCAAAAGTCCTTTTCTCCCCCACAAAATGAGGTCCAAAAGCCTACACGAGGAAGTTTCTTTGAGCTTTATTCAAATTGTCTCCACTGCAAAACAGTGCTTGCTCCTCATCCAACAGTGTCCATACATAGCTCTGAAAACTGCCAGCATTGTGGCCACTTCTGTCTGGTCTATCTGCTCCGATTAACAGGTTAGAATGTTGTTTTCCATTTTTCCGTCTGACTTCTCTGCAAGGTCTGTGCTTTGAAAATTGAGCCTGCCGCTGTACAGTGCAGCTCCATTTATGTTCGGGTGAAGTCTCCAAAATAAGGAGAAACTTTTTAAAGAACAACTTTCTGGAGAATTTCCTATTCCAGTTGTCCAACAAAAATTCAAAACTTGATCCTTTTTCAGCGGCCTGGAGGCCTGCTATTTGAAGGAAGGTTCCTTAGCTGTCTTATCTGGTTTCCTTTTATTTGTAGTGTGTAGTCACACCTGATATTCCGGTTCTTTGCTTCCTTCTGTCTCCATTGGTGCTTTTATTCAGATTTACTTTTATCTATTTCTTCATCATTCCTCACAGTGATGTAAATGCACTGTGTCTGTTTACAGCATTGCTTTTTTAGTCAACACATCCGACTACTTTAAGCCTTTTTTTTTATCTGGGTTAGCTCTCCCAGTTAATTTCATGGGACATTTGTAGCTTCTTGTGTGGTGAGGTTTTCAGTCACAGGTGTTGTCCCTAGAAAACCTGTCCAGAAAAACTATCTGCAGCTTAGTCGACCGTCAAAGGAAGGCAGGGGCAGAGCATGGACACTCCCTACGACCCAAAGAGGCTTTCGTAATGCAGACTCGATACATCACATGATGTTTGATGTTCTGGTTATGTCACGTCCTGCACACGACTTCATATACTGTGCCTTCCACTCAAACAACTTTTTGATTTTATCTCAAAAGGATGTACACTTTTCATCTATGTGCTGTTTCAAGTTTTTACATGTTTGGGCTAAGAATTACTCCCTTTCAAACTTTCTGCCCTAATCTAATCACCAGTCTTTTAAGTTTAATTTCCTCAGGGCAGCTGTGTCAAATAAATGTATGCCTTCTAGATTAGGTACTCTTCTGTACTGACAGGGTCCTGATCAATTGTTATAAGTAAGTGGTGCATTTTCTCTTGGCAACCCTACATGCTGAGCTTCCCGATCAGGATAATGCAGGTACAGTGCAGAACTGATAAGGAGAACTCCAAGTAAACCAATTAAATAGTTTTTCTTATCAGAATTTCTTCTTATCCAGATAAGAATTCAAGCAAGAAAAATTACCAGAGATAAGCAAACTGTTCTTTGCAACAGAAATTTGCCACCTCCGAGTTCTGTATCACGCAAATATGTTTCCCTGCAGAGGTCAAGTTCCAGTAACAGTCTCGCAAATCTCAGTGGTTTCTAACTTTGAAGGTGATCACGGCACAGCCCAAATAAAGATGGTACTTTGGTATAAGGCTGGCAGGAGTAGAATAGTCTCTGTATGAACCTTTCTCAGAAAGAAAAGTCTTTTTTAGGGCCCACATTACTTCACTGGTCACTGAACTTCATGGTTAGCAGGCAGTCTCCTTCAAGATCTATCAATCAATCAAGCTTTACTGATATTTTTTTTTAAAAACATTTCATGCCGTGTATGTAGGGTTATTTCTGCCTCATATTATTCTTCCATACTGCCCTTTAAAGTGTGGTTGAGGTGTGCTGTGGTTTACAGCTAAGGTGTTATTGCACTTTTCCGTCAACACAAAGGAGTTTAGCATACCTTTAACTAGTTATCTGTTACAACATATCTGTTGAGACACAGAAAGCCTTTTATTTTATTAATTTTTCTCCCCCAAAAATGACACCCCAGACCCATGAGACTATCTAATATTTGATAAAATATTCTGCTGTCAGGCTTTCACTCTAATTTTACACTGTTTTTTGTTTTTAATTTTAAACTTCCAACAGAGCAGTCTCTTTTTATGATGTTCACTGGCTCAATTTTTCCTCTTTTTAAAAAACATCTTTGTGACACAAGCTTTTTCAGCTGAGATGTTCTGCAGTACAACATGGATGAAATTAGCAGCCCAAACAAAATCACCATTAGTTTCGGTTTCCTCTTAAAACAAGTTTCACGGGTGACATAGTGTCAACCGCTCTGTTTCTTTTATGTTCCCTGGTAATATATTTACTTTTGCTGCGGGAGAGGAAGCATCTATGGGTATGCCCGGAATGCTATGTCGATTCTTTAATCAGTAATCACTATTAACATTCACAATTTGGGTTTCAATATATCGCAAGGCTAAACATAAATAATCATCATCATCTGCATTTTTCTATTCTTACCTGACCTGCATGCCTATTAAAGGCTATTTAGGTAAACACAACTACCTTTGAATGCAGTCATGCTGCTACCACGAGTAAATAATGTGAGAATAATTTATAAGTTTTAAAAATCACATGCTATGAATTATTCTAAACTGATAAACTGTTACTTTTTTCTTTTACTTTTTAATCACAAAAAAAGAAATTACCAACATAACTTATTATCCCAGATCAGAATGGAATGCTAACAGATCTAAACTGAAATTCTAAACTAATTACGTGGTAAAGTATTTATTTTATTCTAGTATAAACTCAACACAGGAATCTTTCAGAGCTTTATAATTTTATGAATGAACTTGAAAAATCTCATGGTTCTCTGGATGTCATGAATGTCCTTACATCAGTGACATAACTGTAACTCTCCTTTTTAATGAGCTAATGAACATTTTGGTGACAAACGTCTAGAACTCAACTTAAAACAAACTAAAACGTAAGTTCTGCTTCTCACACACACACAACAAATAGATATATAATACAATGCTATAGCATTTAAGATCTAAAAAACAACACTTTTTTTTACCATCAGTTTCGGACCGAACTTGGAGCGACATCCCCCGAAGCCTTTCAACATAAGCCGAAGAAACATGTCCTGTTCCTCTGTCGTCCCACTGTCTATCTTCATTTAACATGTAAAGTTTCACTCTTCTTCGTGTATCCGCCATTTTAACGATAAAATATTTGGTTTTGTTTGTTACTTCACAAAAGCACAGTCGCTTTCGTACTAGTAATTAACAGTCTGTCGACAAAACGACGTGATGTCGATCACACTCAAAACCAAAACACAGAACTTGGACAGGTGCACCGACACCAAAACTCTACCATATCGCTAAACCCAGTGGAAAGGGCGTAAACTATCCTTGGATTTAACATTGCTTAGCATATTTTTGGTATTCACACGTCATTTTACTATTGTGTGAGAAGTTAAATAAGTAGCATCGGCTAAATTTACGGCGCTGTCAACAATGTTTGCCACTCTGAAAGGCGGCCATATTGAATGATTGATAATCGAAATTTGGGGTTAACACATGCAGTTTTCACGGCTCCCCTGGTATATACAAAATGTCACGCAAGCGTGGTTTACAAAACAAAACAGTATAATAAATTTTGTTGCAAATTACTTTTACTAACATTACTTTTTCGTATCTTTTCACTTATTTGTGACTGCTCAGAAACTTTCTTTATTATTATGATTTGCTCTCAGGATGAATTATAATATCATACCTCGCGGACAAATGATGCATGACAATTCCCTCCCATGTGATGATACAAATGAATGTGTTGAGGGGCAGACGAAGTGCATGGGGGTTCCTAACTTAAGCGAATGGACGTCGCTTGGTGCAGCAAAGCCTGGCATATAATTTCACAAAGCCCAGTTTGAGAATGAAAGTGGAGGCAGTCACTGCTGTCTTTCGTTGGCTTGAGAATCAGTTGTACACACATGGCGTGATTGTAACTGACTCGCAGAGCATGTTGAGAAACGTGGAGACGGGCATGCTCTGTGAAGGGAGGCAAGCATCAATTCAGAGGTCCCGAGTAGTTAGCTTCCTTTAAATATTTTCTCCACGTCATGCCGGAGTGTTGGGAAATGAACAGACAGACAGACTGACTGGTTCTGCATCGCTTGGTGGTAAACTGATGTATGACAAGCTGGATGTCGCGGGTGCTCTTTGAGAGAAACTGAACAGTGCGGAGGCACATTTAGTTCATTACGGTCTAAGTAGAATGGCGCTGCGAGGAGTTAAAGGAGATCCGGTGCTCAAAACTCGGGGGAATGGCGAGACGGATATACATACAGTTACTAGTGCCATCGGAATTGGAACTCTTCGCTTGCTACTGAACATGTGGATGGAGCGCTTTTGAGTGTCCCGAGTACGGTGATGTTGATTCTTAATTCGACATTCAATATCGTTTACAGATAGTTGGGCTGTTTTGTGGTTAAAAGATAGGCTGTGATTCCAGACGTTAGATATTTCCCAGTGCTCCTTTTCTCGTCACATGACCAAACATTTTTTTTTAGCCTAAGGTATTCACAACAATCTTCTCAAGAACCACATCTCAGTTGCCTCCAAACTCTTCTTAATTTGTTTACTCACATTCCAGGATTCCCTGCCATACAACAGAACAGACTTGATGTAACATTTCAGTACTCGTTGTCTGATGTTTAATGAGAGTGATTTATTACATAAGATACTCCTCATCTTCTGAAATGCTACCTTGGCCTGGCCAATTCTGTTTTCAATTTCAGTCACACATCGTCCATCTGATATTGTGATTGTCCTCAAATACTTGAATTTATTAACTTGGTTGTAATGTCACATTTTGGAGTTATCTTCTTCTTTGATATAACCATTGTTTCTTTTTTCGATATTCAAGGAAAGTCCATTTTTTGCACTCTCTAATGCAACAATGTTTGTTAGTTGTTGTAGGTCTTCTGCATTTTCAGCTATTAATACTGTATTATCTTCATAACGAAGATTGTTTATATTGTAACCTCAAACCAGCATTCCTGGTCTATCCTTGACCCCTCTTATCATTATTTCACTAGAGAGAGAGAGAGAGAGAGAGAGAGAGAGAGAGAGAGAGAGAGAGGATCCGGTGACAAAACGCATTCTTGTTTCACTTCTCGCTTTTTATGTTTTTAGACTTTATTTCCCAATTTAATTGCTGCTTTCTTGCTTCCAGTAAATATTTTTGTATAATTCTGATATCTTTTCCACGAATGTTCTTCTTCGCGCGTTCACCAGCTGTACACTCTGGCGGAAAGTTCTGGTTGCTCGTCCTCTACTGAACTGCAGTCCTGCTCCAGAACCTGAGTGTTGCGTGTGCATCAGTTTTACAGATCTCATTCTCTTGAATACATACTGTTGGTTCCTTGCCTCTCCGGCAGATGCACTCCGACTTCAAAGGAAGCTCCCCAATTAGTCGACTCCTACGACATGCTTTTGGAGAGGCAGTGGGTCTATTCTTGCTTTCCCCCACAATGGGGCCCCGGAACCCACACGGGGGTCCATGAATGTCAATATCCGTCAACAAATTTATAATGTTTCCCTCTATCAAATAAAGGACTATGCCTACCTTTTACAGACCAATCCGCGCTTGGTGGGTGATGTGGTCAGCATTACCCAGGCCGCTTTCACTTCCCAAGACTTTATCTGGTACCCGCTCAAGGCTGGGTCAACGTGGGAACCAAGGCCATCTTTGAAAAAAAAAAAAAAGTCCGGCTCCAACAGAACCCGAACCAATGACTTTCTGATCCGCAGTCGAGCCTCTAGTCGCTACACCATGGCGACACCCCTTTGGGGAAGTGGAGTGGGAGGATATTCCGTGTGTTCTTTCTAATACTTTGTGTAAGTCGATCTTAATGTCTTTAAGACTGTTTTGATGCTGTCATTCTATTGTGCACAGTCTTCTGCGTATATTTCTTCAGAATGGCACTCTGTGGCAGCTGGTACAGGAGTTTTCGCATCTGACAGCGGAACCATATCATCTGTTTCTTTTAAAAGGGCCTTCTGTTGAATTAACTGGCAGACTGATTTCAGTCTTAGTCTTCTACTGATTTCTTCATTTAACTTGTCTCGTTACTCCGGTAGCTATTCTAAGACCGACCACTTTGTAATTTTTATTATGCGCTCATTAATATGTTTATTCAACGGATCAAAATCACGGCACACGGATGTAATCCATAAGTGCTCCGTTCTACTAACTCAAGTCTGAATCTAAAGAATCTCAGCGCAGTGCACAAACTCCGTTGCACCAGCGAGGATCATGAAATACTTTGGACAGATTTTTGACTCAAAATGTTTGCAGCACCGTTAGGCTACTCTTTTCGATTTCCAACTGGCAAGGGATTTTTTGTTTACGTGCGCAAGATCTGTAAAATGGATATACACGCAAAACTCACATTCTGGAAAAAGATTTAAAGTCCAAAAGTGGATGAACAACCATAACTTTTCGTTAGAGTTTACACTTTGTGAACACGAAGTAGAAGGTTCACACACACCACCCCTCCCCCCCCCCCCAATCTCATAACTTCGTCTTGGGCATTACTGTGTAAACAGGTGCATCCTCTTCCGGTTTTGCCGAACCTGTCGTAGATTCATCTTTAATGTCACACTTCTCTTCAAGAACACGCATCTGACATTGACACACAAAGCACATACATCAGGAGAAGCGTGACACAGATCTGTATCAGAACAACAAGGGTTAAGCCACATTTCAGAAAAGGGAGACTAGCAATCCTTACGTTCTTTTTAGGACGGAATTTTTTGTTATTTGAAGCCCCACCCTGGCTTTTGCCAGGGGCCGCAATATAGGCAGGCCATAAATATTGCCAATTGTCTGAACGCGGTTTATGGGACCTCTCCACGGTGATACTCATCCACATGGTGGCCCTTTGTGTCCATCGGGTGTTTATCGCTTGTGCGATGTCCTGGTGGGGTATAGAGTCAGTCAGTCAGTCAGGGACACTATCTTACAGCTTAAAGTCACCTTTACTGTATGTTAAGTGGGTTATCCTTTACAGGACGTTGCAAAAAGCAAACCCTGCATTTTTTTTTTTTTTTTCTAGGCAAATTTACGTCCAGTAGTGTCCCACTGTTTTCTAAACGGTCGGCTTCTCGATACCACCATCGAAACCGGCGCAAGGCCCGCATCTGTGATCGAACCCGACATAACGAAGCGCGTTGGCAATGCCTAAGCCACAGACGCCGACACTGTATGTGAATAGTACTGAAATCTTTTGATATACATATTGTGTATGATATGCAAAGAACACTTTTTATGCCAGTAGTGCATCGGACATATGGTGCTTTAGTCAACTTTTTATTCCTAGGACACTACTTAGTATCCAAGGCTGGGTCGACCTGGGAGCCAAGGTCAATTTTTGGAGGGACACAACAGACTTCACAGCCATATGTACACACAATTTAAGGTTTGGTGAATCAGACATGTGTACATGTGGAGTGACACCTGAGACAACAGATCACGTCCTCCAAGACTGTGCCAAATTCAACATATCAAGGCAAAATGTTTGACCAAGAGAAACACCGGTGCAATTCAAACTTCACGGGTCGCTGAATGAATTACAACAGACAGTGAAGTTCATACTAGAGACAACATTGCAGATATAGATAATCTATTTCAAGTCAACGAAAGAAGAAGGGGAAAGAGAGATTGAAAAGGGGGGGGGGCATTCGCCGACACATGGAACTGATGAACCTTAGACCCTCAGCAGATGAGATAAGCATCTATATACTAAGAGGGCTGCCTGCTTCGTATCACAGTGAAATTTTAACTGAACAATTTAGACTAGACTTAGGTTCTGGAGGTGTGATTTCTGAGATGGGTGCAAGCACAGTGGACAGCTAGAGTTAGTAACTTTCTGTCTTTCCTGGCCGATAGTGTTTCACTGTTTCTGTTTACACAACTAATCAACATCACAGCACAAGGGTAGTAACCCAAATGGGCTCATCTCTACTTCTAACTCAAGGGTTTCTGTGCAGTAGACGAAGATCGTAACACCGACGAGAATCCTGAAATACTTTTGGTAGATTTTTTAACGCCGTTATGCTAATCTTTTCGATTTCCAGCTGCCAGGGGATTCTTTTATGTGCGAAACAATACACACGGGCGTCCGATCATACTACCCAGAGACCAGGGGAAA